CTCTTGCCTGATGATATGCTATTATACCTAGAAAATCCCAAGGATTCAACCAAGAGACTCCAGGAATTGATAAATGAATTCGGTAAAGTCCCAGGATATAAAATTAATGCACACAAATCAGTGGCATTCATAGATGCCAATAACAGTGAAGCTGAAAATAAAATGAAACACATGACATTTCTCAATAGCATCAAAGAAAATTAAATATTTAGGAACATATTTAACACAGGAGGTGAGAGATATATGTAAGGAGAACTACAAAACATTGAGAAAAGAAATTGTAAAAGATGTGTACAGATGGAAATCCCTACCATGCTCATGGATTGGTAGAATCAATATTATTAAAATGTTCATTCTACCAAAAGTGATTTACAGAATTGATGCAATCCCTATCAAAATTCCACCATCATACTTTACAGATTTAGAAAAAGTAATTCTATGCTTCGTCTGGAAGCAGAGAAGACCTCGTATAGCCAAAACAATCTTAACCAAAAAGCACAAATGAGGAGGCATCAGTCTGCCGGACTTCAATCTTTCCTACAATGCTATGGTAACCAAAACAGCCTGGTACTGGCACAAGGACAGAGATACAGACCTTTGGAATAGGATGGAGAGCCCAGATATAAAACCATCCTCATATTGTCATCTAGTTTTCGACAAAGCAGACAAAAGCATACATTGGGGGAAAGAATCTGTATTCAATAAATGGTGCTGGCAAAACTGGATATCCACATGCGGAAGATTGAAACTGGATCCCCACCTCTCACCTCTCACCTCTCACCTCTCACAAAAATCAACTCACATGGGATAACAGACTTAAACCTTGGACGTGAAACCTTAAGAAGTCTCAAAGAAAATATAGGGAAGTCTCTTTTAGACATCAGCCTCTTAAAGAATTTATGAGGAAGAACCCCAAAGCAGTCACAGCAGCAACAAAAATAAACAAATGGAACCTCATCGAATTAAAAAGCTTCTGCACAGCCAAAGAAACTGTCACGAGAGCGAATAAACAACCTATGGAATGGGAGAAAATATTTACTTTCTACACATCTGATAAAGGTCTGATGACAAGAATGTATATACAACTTAAGAAAATCAAGAAGAAAAAAATCAAACAACCCCATAAATAAATGGGAGAAGGACATGAACAGAAACTTTTCAAAAGAAGACAGATTGATGGCCAGAAAACATATAAAAAAGTGTTCGACATCTCTAATCATTAGGGAAATGCAAATCAAAACTACGATGAGATATCAACTAACTCCAGTGAGAATGGCCTCTACCAAAAACGTCCCAAAATAACAAATTCTGCCGTGGATGGGGAGAGATTGGAATACTCTTACACTGCTGGTCGGACTGCAAATTAGTACAACCCCTGTGAAAAAAATTTGGAGATACCTCAAAGAGGTAAAAATAGAAATACCACTTGATCCAGCAATCCCTCTACTGGGCATCTATCCAAAGGAAAAAAAAACATTCTATAATAAAGACATCTGCACTTGAATGTATATGGCAGCACAATTTACAATTGCAACGATGTGGAAACAACCGAAATGCCATCAATACCTGAGTGGATTAATAAAATGTGGTATATGTATACCATGGAATACTACTCAACTACAAAATCAATGCTGATCTAGCACCTCTTATTTTATCCTGGATAGACATTGAGCCCTTCCTTCAAAGTGAGGTATCCCAAGGATGGAAAAATATGCACCACATGTACTCGCCATCAAACTGGTACTAACTCATCAACACTAAGGTGCTCACATGGTAGTAATACTCACTGGGTGCCATTCAGGTAGGGGGGGATCGGGGGTTACGGGTAGAAGGGTTAAGGGGATAAACCCATAGCTAATGGAAACAGGGTATACTCTATGGGAGAAGGACACGCTTGTAGCCCTGGCTTTAGTGAAGCAAACGCATTTCATGTAACCAAAATGTTTCTACCCACCCTTAATATCCTGATTTACAAAATAAAAAAAGGAAAAAAAAGAAAAAGAAAATAAAATATTCTCTCTAAAATAAAATAAGAATTTCAACAAGCATTTGAAACACAGGAAAAATTGCAGAGTGTCATACTTCACTCTGTGACTCCCTAAGAACTATAGAGATTCTAAACTTGGAACTTTAGAGGGTCAGAACATAAAAGTAGGAAAACATAGGAGTTGAAACTTAGATTTTTTAAAATTTGTTTTGCTATACTTGTAGACATCTTATTTCAACTATGGAAACAAATAATAACATTGGCCTTATTTATGGCAAATCCTTCCATCAAATTTGAGAAAAACGATTATGAGTAGACTGTAAGCATTTCCAAATTTTAATGTAATTCTTTCCAGACTGAAATTTGTATTGCCATATTTACCTGATCTGGGCCCAGCACCATGGATCACACCTGCAATATCAGCACTTGTGGAGGCTGGAGGGAAAGGATGCCTTGAGTCTAGGACTTTGTGACCACACTGTGCAACATCGTGAGAACTGATTTCTACAGAAAAAGAAAAAAATGACAATTTAGATCATTTTGGTAGCAGAAGTCTGTATCTCAGCTACTCAGCTGGCTGAGTTGGAGGATCACTTAAGCGCAGGGCTTAGAAGTTGCAGTGAGCTATGACTGCACAACTGCACTTCATCCTCTATAAAAGAGTAGGTCCTCTCTCTTAAAAAAAAAAATTCACCTGATCTGGATGTTTGTATATTCCTCATTCCTAGTCCTTTCTCCGGAACAGATTCTTCCATTTCAATGGATATCTGAATGGGGGTTTGAAACAAAGTGTTTCATAAACAAGGTATATTTCACATGCTATGTAGTGAATAATTTGAGATAAAAATATACATGTTATTACCTTC